AGGAGGAATAAGAAGAATGCTCTTACTGTAGCCTTTGCTGGTCACTCTGACACAGATTCTCTTCCTGTAGCTTTAATTCAATGTCTACTGTGTTAGCGAAAGGAATTTAAAGAATATGCTGACAGAGATTCCATTTAAAGACTTCAAGTGATGGATTCTGATTTTCTTTCCCAAAATTCATTAATGCATTGTATTTCTTGGCTTGTCTCTAAAGCATTTTCCTATCTGTTCCAGGTAAAGTAAAGGTAAAGGTTTCCCCTGACATTAAGTCTAGTCGTGTCCAAGTCTGTGAGGTGGTGCTCCTCTCCATTTTGAAGCTGAAGAGCCAGCGTTGACTATGAACCTCCAAGGTCATGTGGCCAGCATGACTGCATGGAGCGCCATTATCTTCTCGCAGAAGCGGTACCTATTGATCTACTCATATTTGCATGTTTTTGAACTGCTTTCGGTCAACAAGTTCAGCAGTTCAGAAGATTAACCCACTGTGCCACAAGGGGGCCCATCTGTTCCAGGTACCAGAAAACATAGATCCACCTTTGAATGCTGTTCTACCTGTGTGTTTATGGAGGAGTGTTGAGAATTATTTATATTTTCTCACTCTGCAATGCAGTACAACCCCCGTACCTGCAGGGGATATATTCCTGGACTGTGCAGGAACAAGCAAAACCATGACTAACAAAGAACTCTATTGAAATGAAGGACCCCTGACCCATTAATACCATAGAGATATGCTGGAGATCCTTGAAAAAGCCTAGAAAGTCCATATTTTGTCAGAAGTGGAAAAATAAAACCACAGGTTCTGGTCTCGCAGTTTTGAGGTTCCTACTATACATCCAAAAGCTTTGAGGAATTATTTTAAATGAAGAAAAATATCAAATAGTAGCTCTGTTTAGGATAAACACCCAATAGTTTTTACTCACTATTTTTAAGAATCAGAATTTCTATCAACCACACAGTTCACCAAAGCTCTATTGTAATACTGGAAAAGGCTTGCCCAAATCAAGGCAATCCAAAGTGCTGGTATAGATCTGTCCAGGAACCAACAGTTCCTGATTGCTGAAGAGTTTCCAAAAAAAGAAACGGAGAAACAAATGGAGTCAATAAGCACATATATGGTACTGGGTGGGAAGTCCTGCCAGTTACCTGCATGAGAGAATCCAAGTCAGATGAACCAGTTAATTGCCATATACAAATTTAATATAAGACAGGGGTCTTCTTTACAAAATGTTTATTTATTTTTTTAAATTGGCTTCCAAGTACTGATTAGTAGCATTCCTGGAACCAATCTTCAACATTAAGCACAATATATGAAGCAATTTTGCTAGGTAACCTTCATTTTTCTTCATTGGAACTTCCAAGAAGTCTTCCACGCATATTGCATTAAAATTAAAAGGATGGTACATAGCAGTTATGATTGTTAGACAGTGCCTTCTGTGTGCCTACTATCTGAACTATTGCCCTAGCATCCAATGTGCATTAAAAAGAACTAATGGAAATAAACAGAGTTTTCTGTAACACTGGTGTGGGAGGGGATGCTATATTTATGGAGCTGTGTTAAAAGGAATAAATGGGATCCCAGCACTGGAAACTTATTTTAAAAACCTTTCTGAGAGTATGATTAAATAAACTAAATTCATTTGAGATTTTTTTAAATGAAGAGGACCCTGACATGAACACTTTTTTTTTTTTTGCAACATGAGCTTGTATTGGCATTGCCTAATATCAGTTACATGAAGTTTGTAGTTCAGGTTGGCAGAGTGATTGACATGCTGGGAAGGGATGAAGCTGTAAATAGCAAGGATGACCCATTTTCTGAGTGTGAAGAACTCCACCCAAAATGATAGAATGAGCCCCTTCCCCATTGTATCATTGAGGTGGTAAACAATAAAGTTAGAGGGGGGCTGAAATGGAAAAATTACACAGAGTGGTTAGCTAATGAAAAACACTTTTCATCTCATATGGCTCATGAATGTGGGAAATGTATAGAGCTGAGGTGGGGCACAGGAAATCACCAGCTAGCATAATCAGAACTCAGGATGTTGACAAGCTAGAATATGTCCAGAAAAGGGATTATCAATGATTTGGAAAGCAAGCCCTATGAGGAGCAGCATAGGTAACTGGATCTGTTTAGCCTGGAGAAAAGGAGGCTGAGAAGGGACATGAGAACCATGTTTAAATATTTGAGAGGCTGTCACACTGAGGAGAGGGAAAGCTTGTTTTCTGCTGCTCTGAAGACTAGGACTCAGAGCAACAGATTCAAATTGCATGAAGAGATTCCACCTAAACTAGATTGTTGTAGGTTTTTCGGGCTATATGGCCATGTTCTAGAAGCATTCTCTCCTGACATTTTGCCTGCATCTATGGCAGGCATCCTCAGAGGTTGTGAGGTCTGTTGGAAACTAGGAAAAAATGGGTTTATATATTTGTGGAATGCCCAGGGTGGGAGAAAGTTCTCTTGTCTGTCGGAGGAAGGTGTGAATATTTCAATATTACAATTGGCCACCTTGATTAGCATTTGATGGCCTGACAGTTTTTAGGTGTGGCTTATTAGTGAACTTCCTAATAGTAAAAGCTGTTCAGCAGTGGAACATGCTGCTTCAGAGTATGGTGGAGTCTCATTTTCTGGAGATTTTTAAGCAGAGGCTGGATGGCCATTGCCAGTTCTTGAATAATGTGTTCCTGCATGACAGAATGGTGTTGGGCTGGATGGCACTTGTCTCTTCCAACTCTGATTCTATATTGCTTTACACCAGTGGTTCCCGACGGATTATTATTATTATTATTATTATTATTATTATTATTATTATTGGGGACCACTTGACCAGGGAACATTTTCACCAGGGACCACTCTCCAACATTAGTACCAAAAGGGTTACGAATTAGTTTTTGGTCAACTTTAGATTTGGTTTGGTTATTTGGGGGCCTGATTCAGAAAATTGCATTGGATAGACCACCTCAGCTCTAGTTTCTGATACAGAACATATGCCATCCAGTAGTCGCCATTTGCTCGCCCACAGAAAACCATATTTAATAAGCCTCAGCACTATAAGAGGGTTTCACGAGACCAATTGCTCTAGTTGCATTGGTGTAGCAATGATGAGCCTGCAAACCATATGTATCTGAGCACATAAATCATGGTGAGAACCCTGAACTATCTAGAGTCAAACATTTAGCCAAGATATGTGGAATTCCTTTACAGAGATTCACATAGATTCTCTAGTCTAGTCAACTATTTTAAAGAAACATATGCCAATCTCAAGAAAGGTATGTCCTTTAAAAAAATATTATGCCCATCACAGTCATACTTTACCTGTGAGCATAAAAAGACATCTTGCTGCCTAGCAAGCTAATGCTAGAAGCAGATTACAGACCTGGACAGATTATGTTCTGATTAAGCTATGCAATTTTGACAGATTGTGTATGTGTGAGAGAGAGATTGAGAGACTGGGAGAGAGAGAGAGATGGAAGGAAGCTGCTATCAAAGGAAATACTACAACAGATTTTTCCAGTTAAAAACCCACTACCTAATTTCCAAAGTCCTCCCTTTCTAAAAAGATACATTGATAGTACAAAAAAAATCCATATTAGTGATTTTCATAGAAATCAAAAGTACTGTAAAAAATAAATCTACAAAATATAATATCAAATCAGTGTAGGTAAATAATGGGGTTTTAAAATACTATTACGTTGACATAGCAGAGCATAGCAAGCTTTTCAACTGTACTGGCCACAGTTTCTCATGAAAAAATATTTAGAAATCTTATTTCATTCATAACTCATGTGGATCCAGTTAAATCTGTTTCACAAGCAGGGGTATGAGGAAAGATGCCAGTATGCCTACATTTTGTTGAATAATGGTAAGACTTTTGGAAAGCTTAAACCAAGCCATTTTTCTTATATTAAACCAAGTTATAAACTCAACATCAGTACATCATGTTTGTTAAGCATCTTATATAATGCAATGGCTTGTATATTCCTACATTATCATTTTACTAATTTTAAGGGGGAAAAAATATCTGTACTGAATACAGTGAATTCTGGCAGAGAAGACATGTATTGATTTATGCTATACACTGGTTTATGCAGAGAAAATTTATGTCATAAATTGCAAAACAGAAAAATCTTTATAATCTCTGAGAAAGAAGCAGCATTTATGGGCATATATGCCAACATCTATTAACATCCCATTTCAAATAAAATAAAATGTAAGGTTAAAATGATGGTTACATGAGAAAACAGCTTTGAAAGGTATGCGCAAAATAAAATTGAAGGGATTTTTCTCTAAATATATGCATACACACACACACATATAGCATAATCATGCAAAACTATTACAAAATGCCATACCATATTGATTTTAAATATATTTTGTACGTATGTACAAAATACAGAGAGGAATACACACACACACATATATAAAAGCTAGTAAAAACATGAGAATCAGCATGCAAAAAGAAGCCCATCTCTGAAGTTTACTAACTCTAAATATGCTATAGCATAGGCATGGGCCAACTTAGGCCCGCCAAGTGTTTTGGACGTCAACTCCCAGAATTCTAAAACACCTGGAGGGCTGAAGTTTGCCGATGCCTGTGCTATAGACTTGTTTAACAACTGATCCTCTTCACTGACTTATTTCTTACTCTCTGAATATGAAACTCAAACAGAATAGATGTTGAATATTTGTTCTGATTTAATTTCTTGCAGAAGGAAGATATAAGGTGCATGAGACAGACTTAAACCTACATTGAAAGGTGCTGAGGCATAAAGTTCTCCATCACCAGCATCCCTTTGCATCTTCAAATCTCTTCTTGCTTTGGTTCCTCCCATGTCTTCATTTCAAATCTTGTAACATTTCACATCCTTCCCCACTGTACAGATGAAACCCAATATTTCTTTCTTACACATGCTTCATCCTATGTTGCCACGTATATACTGTTTGTTATGCAACGTACATTGGTAAAGTATAGATGGTTATGGGGAAAGATGCAGAGGAGGCTTACCTGAGAAAAAGAAATCAGATTGCTCTGCTTCAGTTTCTGCCTGTCATAGTAGCCAAGGCAATGCCTTTCTTCAGGGGAGATGTTAGTCGGCTCTGGTCTCCTGTCCAACAAGCTGGCTTCCCTCTTCCTTCTATTTCCTCCCCCTTTGGATTCCACTTGGCAAGGCTGGCCTTGGATGCTGCTCCTTGTGTCGCTTGTGAGTCAGCCACTGGGTTGCAGATCCCTCTTCCTCTCTGGCTGCCTGGGCTGTGGCTTGAATGCTACTGCGAATGAGGGAGATGCTCTCTCCCTTTTACACACATCCTCTTTCCTTCTGGGGTGGACCAGCTGGAGCTTTGGTGACTGCTTCTGTTGCTATTAGGAACCTAAATGGCGTCGGCCAAGCTCAGCAAAGCTTTTCACTGCCACCTACCAAAGAAAAGTGGCATAGCTGGCTTTCACAAGGGCTGGACTGTTCTTTATTTATCCCAAGCTTGTTCATTTCTGCCATACATTTTCCCTCAGAAACTATGTATTTTAGCTGCTCCATGTACATCTGAAATTACAAAGTCTAGAGGAAGATTGCTTAGGATTACAGCTCCCAGAATCCAGCCCAGACCCATGAATACAGCAATTTCAGGGTTATAAATTAGACACACGCAGGCCCGTAGCCGGGATTTTGATTCAAGGGTAGCTGGGTTTGATTTGGGGGTGGGGGGTGGGCTGAGTCTGAGTGAAAGAGGGTCTACCCTAGCAAACCTTTTGTATCGTTACCCCAATACCCCCATGGATATGGGATATATTGAGCATGGTGATCAGATCATGATATGAATAAACATAACAGTTTAAATAATGTACCAGTAAGGCCTTCTCGCAGACCACCCTGAGAATTTGGGGTGGGGGTGGCTGAAGCCCCTCAAGCCCCCCCTCCCCTGGCTACATGAATGGACACATGGTTTATGTGCATTATTTCTTGCTTCATATTCTTTTTTTTCAGAGTTAGAATAAAGCAGGACTTCTTAGATTTTTCCATCTCTTTCCCTCCCAGAAATGTCTACACACCCCCAAGTATATAGATATTTAAAATAGGTATAAAAATTGAACATTTACTGATAACAAATCTTTTTATGGAATACAACTGAAGCATTTTCTGCAGAGTCCATTGTAAACACTGCACATGTTGCTTATAGATTTGTGTCAATGGGTGGTATTCAGAAACCTTTTACTGTGGTCAAATGTTTCAGGACCCCAATATTGATCTAAGGGGACCCCTTTGGGGGCCAGGGCTCACAGTTTCTGAAGTAGTGGGATAGAGAATAAAAGTTAGAACAGTTTTTTAAATGACCAGAGCATCCAGTCTCCATGCAAATAAAATAATCCCCTAGATATGTTTTCAGTGATGAGGGAAAACTGCACATGTTCAGAGAGTCTCTTGTTATTATTTCACAATTCACATGCACTGAAGACATGTTTGACAATACTATGTGAAGAAAAACTTGTTTTAACCTCAGAATCAGTACCACAGTGACTATAAAACTGTGAATATAAATTTGATTTTTGTAATGCAAATCATCCTTGAATTTAATTTTGTATTTCACATATAATCCCTGTATGAACTAGAATGCACAGCAGATTTAAAAATAGCTCTTCTTTCTGTTCCACATTAAGAAAATCAACACTTGTGCATAAATAGAATACAAGAGACTCAAAGTGGCAAGATTTGCCAAGTAGGCAGGGTAACCTGACAAAAAATCTATCTTGTGTTGTTTTGACTTCCTAATTTACACCTCACAGACTTCTCATTTTGGAACTCATCCTCCCTCTCAACTTCTGAACATTCAGAAAAATCCTCTGATGCTTGCCAGACTACAAGACCCTGCTTTTTGGCCTTGCATAACACCATGCAACTGCAAGTATATAACAGGACGTTCTTTTGAAATGTTTAGGCTAAGCATCCAAATATGTAGATGAAATTTGACAATGCAATGGGGCCTTAAGGATTCTTAAATCCACAGGATGTGATCAGCTATTCTTTTGAAGTATATTTAGAGGTTCATCCCAAAAGTAATGAGCAATGGCAACACACTTCTTCCTCCTCTGATGTTTACCTCTCATTCTGCTGAGGAAAGCCAAAAGATGTGGCTCATTTTATTGGCAGGGAGGCAAAATGTGGGTGTTGCCCCTCAAAAGTATTCTGTTCCAAAATGAAATTTTCCTTCAGTTCCCAAGTTCCTAGCAGTAATTTAATCTGAATATTTAGAAATGCAGTTTAAACATGCAAAGAAAAGGCACAGACAGGCAAAATTACCAAGAGAATTTTAGAAACAGAAAATGCAAGAATTCTAGGTGTGAATGTTTGCCAGTGTTCTACTCTGTAATCATAGAAATTTGGGAACTGGAAGGGAAATTCATTTGGGAGAAAAATTCTTACTTGGAGGAGCAATGCTTTCATCTCCCTCCCATAGCTACACCATAGGAGATATAAATGTTTGCAGAAGCTCTCCCACTTCAGCTTACCGTTGCTGGATTTTTTGCCAAACTATTCACAAAGAAAGAAAATCCAAACAATATATTCAAACTGCTGGTTGCCCTTGTTTCCTCTGCTAAGGATATATGTGCATATGTAAGCATAGTATGTGCATACACATTCACATATATGCCTATTTGTCTCTTGAAGAGCAGTGGTTTATTAGAATCAGTTTTTGAACCACTGCAAAGCACAAATATTCCACACAATTGCTGCCTTTATAACTAATGTGGCCAGTCTTCAGGGGAAGGGACTCTTCATCTGAGAAAGCTCCAGTCCAACATTCAGATGGACAACTGAAGTTTCTCCTGTTTTTGTTTTTTTAAGGGGGGGGGGATACTGACTGTGTGATGAATGAAAGATGAATGTATTGCCAACTCTTAGGTTTCCACGTGTGAGTGTGATAGGGAGGCAGAACTTGAAATGGGACTACTGATGATATAAGAGGGGTGATTCTCTGCACTAAAAGGATAGTCACCCATTCTTTCCCATCTCAATGTGATGAGTTCAATAGTTTATATAGGTATACCCAGTCTCCTTTCTTTCACCCTTTCTATTTTGCATTTATGTGAATTTCTGCCTTCCAGTTCTTACTAAGTCTCCTTAACTTCTCCCTGATGTCTCCTTACAAGTTCCTGTAATTATTATTTTATCAATCCTTTTATAATTGGAGTGCTAAAGTGCTTTAGTCCATTAGTACCTTCGTGCTGAGTACCTATGAGCTTAATCCAGTGGGAGGGCAGAGGCCTCAAAGGCAACAGAGCAGAAGAGGCAAAGCAAATATTGTACAGGCAAAACAACCACACTCACAGTGTTTTGCCTTGTTGATGTGGATCACTTGAGTCCAGTGGAGGAAAGATCAAATCGGCTGAAGTCTATGAAAGATAATGCTACCAATATCTTTCTCCCAGTTAGCTTTATGAATTCATAAGCCAATGATGTGGGGACTGGTAAAATCCCATATTTCTACAATGTCAGTTTTCAAGGCAAATGTCAGGAACTGGCTGCTGATCTTTCTTGCAAAAGCCTTTGGTTGGCCTCATATAAAGAGCATCTGTCATCTTTAAAACTGGAACTGTGCTTCTAAAAACCATCCTTCAGATGACGCTGACCTAGTTTTATGGCACGCTCTAACGACTGCCCTGAAAAGCAGGAAAATGTTTCAGCAAAATCTGTAAGCACATCTCTCTATGTGTTTCACAAGAGAGTTTGGAAATGGCTCTGTGCCTGAGGTGACTCTTTTTGGCAAAGGGCCAATATTTAAAGGAACATTTTGTGTTGTAACATTTTATATGCTGACCATATGAGCCTTTTCCCTCGTGAATTGGTAAGTAAAAGAGAGAGAGAAAGAATGCACTGGGGCAATGAGAGACTCGTTTAAACCTGCATAGACACATTCTCCAAACCACACTGTTTATCAGAGAGTCTTCACTTTTTCCCCTCATCCTTCTTCCAGATGCCTTGTTAAATTGCTATTGCTGTATTTTCTGGTGTATTAGATGACTTTTTAACCCTGGAAAATCTTATGAAAAGTCAGGGGTCACCTAATACGCCAGGTATAAAATAAAAATAATAAGAGTAAAAGAAAAGAATAAAATCCAACTCCCTTAGCAGCGCAGCCTGAGGAAGAAGGGAGGAGGAGGGCGGAAGGAGGGAAGATGAGGAGAGGAGGAGCAGCAGGCCGCATTGCCATGGAGACCCGCAAGGGGTAATGGCCCGCTGAGCTGTCCCTGCCGCCTCCGACGCTCTATCCACTCTACTTTCAAGGCCCTCCTCCACTCCTGCCACTCTCCTCCTCCAAAGGCCACTGGGCTCATCTAGGCCCACCTAGGCCCAAGGAAGTGCCTCCGGACTATGATTTCCAGCAACCCTGGGTGGCGGCGTGCCTTGGATGTGCTCCCTGACATCAAAGGCACACTGCCACCTGGGGCTGCTGGGAGTCATAGTCCGGAGGTGCCTCCTTGGGCCTAGGTGAGCCCAGTGACCTTCAAAGGAGGGGAGCAGTGGGGCGGAGGAGGGCCTTGAAAGTAGACTGGCAAGAGCGGCAGGAGCGGTGGGGACAGCCCAGTGGGCCATCACCCCTGGCCGATCTCCGTGGTAATGCGGCCTGCCACTCCTTCCCCCCACACCCTCCTTCCCTTGCCCCACATTGACAAGGTTTGCACTTGAGATTTCTTGTAACAAGATGGGCATAGTGTTGGAGAAGGGGTAGTCTTATTTGGTGAGTTTATCCCTAATTTTGTATTTTATCTTGAAAAGTTGAGAGTTGTCTTATACCCTTCAGTCATCTTGTATGCCAGAACTTATAGTAGTTCAAATTATCAGTGTTGCTCTTTAGGATTCACCTCATTGTACAGCAGAATAAAAGGTTTGTTTTGTTTTTTTCATTTTGAGGGTCACATTTTCTCACAGAGAACCTTCTAGGAAACATTTTGCAATGTTGGATAGAAGCAGTGCCACACATTTGATGCACACACATCCATCCATGTACACATACATACCCCAAAGTCCATTCATACTATGGAAGGATAGTGCTATGATTTTTTTTAACTAATGTGTTTCAGTCCTGCAGACCTCCAGGATTTAGAGGGGGGGTTGGGGGGGGGGTCTAAAAATTCTCAGCCAGAGGTTTCTAGTACCACCAAACTACAAACACAAAAATAACATAGGATGCAGCTGTGGTAGTTAAAGTGGAATAATAGTGCTATAACTGTGTATTGTGAGAGACCCCTATTGCAAGATTGACTGTCTGGATTAATTAAGCACACAAATGCTCCTAGCAGAATCAATTAGATGAGATGAATATAGTAATGCTATTACAATAAATAATTGCACCAACACTTGGAGCCTTTTGGTGGATAATATTCCAATT